TTTTTTTTTTTTTTTTTTTATAAAGTAAAAGACTTGGAAAATTTGTCAAATCGTTTATAAGGAATGAGAAATTAATTTTAGGTTGAATATGTAGGAAAAAAAAGAGGTTTTGAAGCTCAAGATTTTATGTATCTCAAAAGGTTGCTTAAAATTGGATATGTAAAAGTAATAAGAGGGTGAGCTTAGGTGCACTATAGTGAGGTTTTATCCCAAAATCAATTTGTGATGGGAGGAGTAGCTTACTTGACTAATATACTAGGCTCATTTTCCCTATAAAATCAATGTAGGACAACTCACAAGTGATGTGTGAACAAGCACTGTCTAGTGCATATGAGCATCGAGCTCGTCATGGATAGTCGCGGGCAATATATCTGTCACCCAACGACGTCTACATGCCTATTTGGTGGGAAAAGCAGTCGCATGTGTGATTCTGGTGCCGAAATGTTGTCTACTTGGTTTTGGTTGCATACTTATACAGTGTTTGCTTAAATATTTAACAAACTCACTAGTGTATGAGAAAGTTATAGATGGTGTCGAGTAATGTCGTATTCTGCAGGATTTTTGTCAAATGAATTAAATATAAAATAATGACGACTTTATATATAATAGGACCAATTCAACAATGAGTTAACTTGAAAGAATTCCAAAAAAACTAAATTATAACTTAAATAATTCTAAAGCACGATTAACTTCACGAGATAAACAATGAGGGAAACAAATCTAGGCTACATTTTCCTCAGACAAAATTCACAAAAGATTTTGAGATGTTTAAACATTATTTAGTTTTATAATTGGGAAAAAATTCAAAATTAGTCCCACAGGTATAGGGGGTGACAATTTTGGTCCCAACGGAATGCAAAAAAAATAAATAGCCCACAACTTTTAAAAAATGATCAAAAGTAGGGCTTTTTGTCGGATTTACTGTTTCCGGCCCGGAATGCCACGTGGTGCACACGTGACATATTTTGTTGCATATTTTATGCATACTTGTGGGACCAAAAATGTCACCTTCCTATACCTGTGGGACCAAAAATGTCACCTCCCTATACCTGTGGGACTAGTTTTGATTTTTTTCATATCCACGTCGGATGCCAGTGTGTAAAAAATATATGCCACGTGTGCGCCACGTGACATTCCGGGCCGAAAACAGTAAAATCCGGCAAAAAGTCCTACTTTTGATCATTTTTTAAAAGTTGTGGGACTATTTATATTTTTTGCATTCCGTTGGGACAAAAAATGTCACCCCCTATACCTGTAGGACTAGTTTTGAATTTTTCCCTTATAATTGTATAAATAAACACTAAATTAATGTAATCTCTCTTTCAAACTAGTTAAATTGTTTGTTAGTTGCTATCTTCTTTTGATCTCAAGATAAACAATTAACATTTTATGTTTGTAAGATTTTCAGTTCCCTCGTAAAATTTTATTATCCTCTAGGTTTGTTTAGTCTCTGGTGGAGACGAGACCGGTTCGGATTCGAGGCCGAATCCTTCCCAACTGGGGGAGGATGGTGGAGACGAGACCGTGATCGCCTTTTTGAATAAATACGACAGACTTCGAGTTTAAGTCATTCATTAATAATTAGCTTATTATGTTATTTACTTTTATTTTAGGTAATTAAAATAAATATCTTGCAATATGTTAGACAAGATACTAGATTAGGACTCTTTCCCTATTATATATTGGTGAGACTACGATGAAGCAGAACAGATTATTTTGAGTTTTAATTGATATTGAGTGAATTCATCGAGAGAGTATCTCGTTTTTTCCCTTTCATATCACGTTCTACATCAGTCTCTTACATTAGAAGTTTTCCTTTTCTTTTTTTTTTTTGGGTACAGGGACCTTCCGGTTTCTGGATCCACAGGGAACCGACTAATCCAGAATCGAGTCGGGTAGGACCACAAGGGCGGCAAAACTCTCCCTCAAGAGTTTTAACACTGCTGCATTCCCAGGGCTCGAACACGAGACCACTGGTTAAGCTGGAAGAGACTCAAACCATCTCATCCAAACGCTCTTGGGCGAAGTTTTCCTTTTCAAGCGACTAACGATCATCTCTCACTCTCAAATCAATCAAAACCCGCTAGTTGTCCAATCGGGTCTTCTTTCTTAGGAAAAAGATTCAACGTCTTCCTCTTTTAAATTTCCAAGGCCATCCATTAACCATGTGAACTCTACATTAATACGGACCATATGTTTATATACATAAGCATTTACAACAACGAATATATAAGTTAAAAGTTAAATCGGAATAAAACCATAAAAAATTTAATCTCACGATCACTACAATCTCTAATACTATAGCCGCTAGGTCGAATCTAAAATTCAGTAAGTGCAATAGTTTAAAGAAGACAAAGAGAAAAAAAAAAATAGAACTAGTGTCGTTGTGTAGTTCTCGATCTCCATTATCGACTTCCTCAACTCTTTTGTGTCTCCCCAATCTTCTCCTAGTGAAAATTCCCCAAAACGAGCCCTATAAGTGTCTTTTATAGTTTATAACAAAATCACTTCGAAATTTGGATGGAAACTCCGTGAAAACGTTAATATGCAGTTGTGCAAGACTCGTCACACGAGTCATATCACATAATGTCCAACACCACACGACTCGTGTGAACCTGAAGCTCAAATTTGTTGCACTACCATTAGACGTCACACAACTTGTATGACCTAAGTCATACATTACACTAATCGAGACGCCACACCACTCACCTTCACGCAAGATCACACACCTCATAATTGGGTGATGCAGAGGACCGGGAGATGCCTAGGCTGCACGGCCTGTCATCCATGAGCGGTTAGGTTCCAGTCACTAGACACCGGAGACATCAGTGGGGCTGCTCCATCTCGAAAAATGCGAAGTAAATGATATTTTGAAAAGAAAAATTAATTGTGTTAAAAATGAAAATATGAAATAGAAAAGGCGATTTTTTTTTTTTTGGTGTGTGGTAATTAGATTATTTGCATTTGAAATTTGTTAATTTTGTCACCAGTTGGATCGATAATACCACATACCCAGTTTTGCTATGAAACTAAAAGTTGGTTCCATAATAAAGTTAATTTTCTATATATAAAACAAGAAAATCATATGGTACGGTTTACTTGTTGTATATAAAATGTTGGCTCCATTATGAAACCAATTGTTTGTTTCATAGCAAACTATATGGTATGATTTACTTGTTGTATATAGAAGGTTGACTCCACTATGAAGTTAACTATTGGTTTAATAGCAAACTGACCACGTACCGAACTACCGGTGACTAAATTGGTATAATATATGTACCTTATTTAAATGATTGATATTTTACCTTCTCACAAGTAAATAATCCTCCCTATTCAAATTCAATTTAAAAATTCAAATTAAGATTTATTAGTTTTAGAAATATTTAGATGCTGATAAAAAGAAAAAAAATAAAATAATAACCATTGAAAAATAAGAAATAGCATTCGAGAGTTATTGGCTAGGGAATGGAAAGTGGAGATTCGCCACATCCATCAGGAAGAGAACTTTGCAGCCGACTACCTTGCGTCGTTGGCCTCGACATTGCCAAGTGGACTACACGTCTTTGACGACCCACCCACGGGGGTTAAACCGTGGTTAGAACATGATAATTTAGGAGTTTCGTACGCTCGCGATATTGTATTCTAAGGCTTCGGCCTCCTTTTTTGTACAAAAAAAAAAAAAAAAAAAAAAAA